AGCCATTGATGACTACATTAGAGTGAGCCACTGTGAACTCTTCCCTTTCCCCACCAGGCACCAGGACCAAGAACCCTGCCCCTCGGAGCGGACCACACACCAACACTCGCAAGGAAAAAAATGTTGGCCATCATGGTGAACGCTAAGTATGGAGTTCATTTTTAAAAGCTCTGAGAAAACTTTTAAGGGGGGTCCAAGACACCCCTCCGTTAAAAGAGCCCAACACCAGAGATCTAACCGCTAATTTGAGTGGTTTCACGAAGTGATTAATGCTTAAGGGAGTAGTTTAAGAAGACGGTCTGATCTAAAAGCATGAGGTTCTCGTTTCTGCTTGGTCTGCTCTTCAGGTTGGGAAGCAAGTCCTGCAGACTCTTCCTAGACGGGTTCTCCACATTAACAACGAGTTCCACAAAAGCAATGGAGGATGCACGCCACTGCATGCAAGCATGCACACAAACCTGCTCCACTATGTTTTCAGTGAAAATCTTTGAATAGTCCCGGTTGATGTACTTTTCCTTCCAGTCCTACCAAAGAAAGAATTGTACATATTAAAGCAACGAACTTTTTCACCAATGTTTTTGCTGGAAAATTGGTGTCTTTATATATATATTAATTTACTCAATTCTCGGTAAGCATTAATGATAGAGAAGAAGGAATTTTCAGGAACCTGTCCAGACATTGACAACTGTTTGGTTCTGCCTCCGCTCACACCATTGTAGGATAAACCAAAATTTTCTCCGGAAAGTTGACTTCTCAGCGTGAACAACCTGACAGTAATGTGAGATCCCGTGCTAGATCTACACACCCAGAGAAGCGGCCCCGTGCGTGAGGCTCAAGGGTGAACCAGTGCAACAGTGACCACCACAAGACACTGGGTTGGAAATGAACTCTACAATGTGGCAGGGAGGGGAAGTCAGCGGGGGCAGAGGGCATGAGGAAGAGGCTAATGCACCCAATACCTTACTTACATAACTGCAGCCCTTCTGGTACCTCACCTTTACAATAAAATAGAAGTAAAAAAGTAATAACTCAAAGTGAAAAGAGTACAAGAAGATGTGGCTCAGGAGCACAGCATGCGCTAAGCCTGCCTGAAACCCTCGGTTTAAATCTCAACACCTAAGGAAAAAACAGGCCAAGAAACAAGAACCTTTCAAAAGTAATATAAAAATTAATCCCCGAGTTAGTGAGTGAGCACACTCATTATTCTATAATGAACTACTCTAATTGTATTTTTAAGTGTTTAATTTCCACGTTCTCTTGAACTTCCAGAATTTTTTTACGGAAAAATAATTACTAATACTTTCACTTTCTAAATTACGTTTACGTTTATTATTTGGTTATAAAAAACATATTAGCTGTACAAATGGCCCACGGACGGTCTTTTAGCTAACAAAATGAAGGACTACAGTCTTAGGTTGAAAAATGGGTCCTCCTTCTGTGCCTATTTCTGGATCTTATTTTCTGACCAATCTTTGTCACTAAGTCACACAGAGTTTTTACAATGTTTGCTAAGTAATCATTGTCCTGGGTGATTACTGTATTTAAAATCCCAGTCTTGAGAAGTTATATAAAACACAGAATTGTTTAAGTGCCTCCTCCTTGTAAAATGCATAATGCCTCTGAATTTTTCTTTCTTTGCATAGGACAAATACAGGAAGACCTTATTGGGAAAGGGGGGGACCTAAAAGAATTCTAAAGTGCTTATCTAAAATACGTCTTTGAGGCTGGATTTATATCACAATAATTTATATCACATTTTTAGTTTAGTTTGGTTCTAACAAACTTATTTTTGATGTGGAAAAACTCAAGTTAGCTTCAAATTCTTTAAAAAATGTCAGGTAGACAGATGATGGATAGACGGATGATAGATGGATGGATGCATGAGTGGGTGAATGGATGGACAGATGGATGGATAGATAGATAGATAAAAGGAACACATTTGCTTTGTTTCATTTTAGCTTTAGTATTTAATGACTTGCCAATTCTAAAACACGGGCCAAGCAGAATCAAGTAACCGGAACCCCCATTGTAGTTTTTGGACACATCATTCTTTACTCTTTCAAGTTCCAGAAGTCCCTATACACGTGAGGATAATAATAGTAAATTTTCATCATAGAACACCTTTAAAGTCATCAATCGAATGGCAACTTTATAATGTTCTCAGGATTCTGATCAGGGACGATCTCTCAGTATCTGTTCCGAGATATCTATCCCTTGATGAACGCAGCTAGTCCGTCCACTAACAAACCAGGCCAGAGAAAGGGAGGCAGTTTCTGCTCAGCTCGAAGTTTTCCATCCTGTGCTCTCCTGAGACATGAATTCTTAACACAAACGACTACAGCTCAGGATGTAATTTAGGATCTCTTACCAGGAAGCTAGTATTATCCAGGAAAGTAAGTAATTCTATCCCTCAAAACACCAAGGAACACGGAGCCAAAAAACACATGTAATTCCACCCACTGCAGAATAACAAAAACTTCTTTCTATTCCAGTTCTGTGCAAGATGAAGATACACAGGGGGGAAAATAGGACAGAAGTATTTTTTAAATGCCTAATATGAAGAAGAAGAAAAATAGAAAGACAAGAGAGACAGTCCTATTCTACTCCACAGAGTTCCCGGAGATGACTGCATATATTACTTCTGCATCTCTGCTGTGCCAGAAAAACAAAACACAGGGTGCATTAAATCTCTGTAATTTACGACTTTTCCTATTGGCAGAGGAACCACAGGTATCAGCATCATGACTGGTAAATAAAAATACCTGTTTCACTTAAAGAAAGAGATCTCATTGCAAAACAAAACCCATCTCAAAACAACCTAGTGAATCACCAAACAAAGCAAACGTGGTTTTTAATCCAACACTTTGGTCACGTGTTGTATAGGTAGACTCTTACAAAAATCATCAAAAGAAACAAAGTTGAGGACGTCTTGAGACTACTTTAGGAAAATAAAACCACTATAGCATCATCTATAATCTATAATCATCAATACCCTCCTAAAACTGTCTTTGAAACTGGATAGAACTTCTGAACACTGAAAACAGAGAAACCAAACAACCGTGTAATTCCCTTTCTCAAATTTAGTATATATCCTAATTTTTCTTTTCTTTTCTCTCTTTTTTTTTTTAAAAGTTCTTGGCCCTAGCCTTGAGCAAAAGAGCTGAGGGACAGCGCCCAGGCTCTGAGTTCAAGCCCCACAACCACAATAAATAAATTCATGAATCAATTAATTATAAATACTGTAACTCAACTTTCTTTTTTTTTTCTTTTTGTTGGTCGTGGGGCTTGAACTCTGGACCTGGGCGCTGTCCCTCAGCTCTTCAGCTCAAGGCGAGTGCTCTACCACTTGAGCCACAGCGCCACTTCCAGTTTTCTAGTGGTTTATTAGAGATAAGAGTTTCACAGACTTTCCTGCCCGGGCTGGCTCTGGACAGAGATCCTCAGTTCTAAGCCTCCTGAGTAGCTAGGATTACAGGCATGAGCTACCAGCGCCCGGTTGTAACTCAACTTTCTTAAAAAAAAAAACCAAAAACCTCTTGAGTGGTGTCAATTTTAAAACTAAGCTATGGATTACAAAATTGATTATTAAACATTTAAAAGCCTGGCCACATTACACTATGATTTGCCTCTCCTAGGCTAGGAAGACACATAAGCAATACAGGACGTAGAATACAAAACACCTACCACGGGGTTTTCAAAAATCTGCCACAGGTCATTGTTGTAGTGCGAAGTATTGTAGTTGGCCGTCGACAACAGTCGTCCAAACTCATGTCTATTAGAAATGTACATAAACACACCCTACACGTCAAAAAATAACAGTATTAATCCCGAAGAAAAAGCACATACACCAGACTTAACCACAGAGACAAAAACAAAAACAAAAACGTGTTCCCTTCTACTTTTACGATCTGCTTAACAAAAACAAAAACGTGTTCCCTTCTACTTTTACGATCTGCTTAATGGCCACGCATTTGTATTCTCATACTGCGTGTGTACGATTTGAAATCAAAGAAACAAATGTGGATTAGGCATTCAGATACCACAGGAAGGCAAGAGAAAGCACTGACAATCAACTGAAAGACGAAAAGAGGAAGGAAAAGGGTAGCCAGTTCCTCCCAGTTTCTCATGATCCCAGGTGTCGACATGGGGGGCGGATTCCTGTTTGAATGCAGAAATACTTTTGAGACAGCAACGTGAGATGAATTGTACCTTCTTTTGGCTCCTGTCCCTTTCAAAGGAAACGTCATGTTTTTAATAATGAACTGAAAATGTCAATGTTATGTTATCAGGGTCTTGCATTCTTTATTACTGTATTGTTCACAGACTGAACACAGAAAGGAAATCGTGCCTTGTAACGGCCTGACTAGAAAAACACACCAAAAAAATCACTTTTTGGTTGGTCTTTTGGCTAAGATCAATTGTGGTAAAAACAAAATACACTCATCACAAAAGCAAAACTATAGCCTCCTCTCCTTGACCCAAATCAAATCAACACAGCAGCTACAGCTCAGACAGAGGGTCTCTGTACACCTGTTTGAATGGTAAAGGGATTAACAGGTCACTAAGTAAAGAAGAATGTATTAATGTCACCTTCGATCAAAAGGAACACTTATGGTGTATTTTATACTTAGTCCTGCCGCTTTGTCCTCCCAAACCCCACCAAAAGAAAAAACATGTACTAGGAAAATGAGTGAAAGGTCTTAAGGATTTTAACTTTTTATCTGTTAACCAGCAAATGTCAATCAACTGAAAGACCCAAGAGTTGACTGTCATATAAAACACACATAATCATACACACACCCATACACATGCCCAAACACATGCATATAAACACAGATACATGTACACAAACGCATATACACACATGCATGAATATATACACACAAATACACGCATAAAAACAAACACATACACACATATACACCACCACAACATAGAAACCTAAACGCATGCACATTAGTAACCCGTAAATACAAACACTCCACACCAAGCCCAAGACGAAACTGTGAAGAAACGTCACCGCTCGGCGGTAAACCATACGCTGTAATCACACACACACACACACACACACACACACACACAGAGAAAGAGGTAAAAATAAATGAAAGAACACCTTTGGGGGGCTGAGCATTTGGAATGTCTCCGGAGTGGGGGAGTCTTTCTCCCTCTGTAAGGTCTAAAATGAAGAGAGGCATCGGGTGAGTGGACCTGCTGGCCCAGCGCCCTGGGGTGCTCGGTGAGTGGGGTGCAGCCTGAGCGGGGAGCCGCCGGGGACCCGGCCCTGGGAGACTGCATGCATGACAAGCGAAGCTCTCAGCTCTCAGCGCGCGAACACACGTCTCCCTCCCTGCCACCCTTTCCTTCCCTTTTTTTTTAAAATTTCTCTTGTGTTGGTCAAACATATATCCAAGCTCATTCCTTAGACAAATAATTAAGACAAGGGGGGGAAAAAAACGGAGTCAGAGTGGCCATTCCAGGATGCGCTGCCGCGTGAAGTCAGCCGGGCGGGAGACAGGCACTGCGGTTGCTCGGGGGGAACCAAGGTGCACAGGTTTGTAGGAACACATACACAGGTAGTAAAACAACACATGCCTTGTTAAGAATAAAAACAAAATACTTGCCAACTTTTCCGATACATTTTTCCTAAAATTGGCTACGTGAGTTTAGAAATAAACTCAGTATCGTTTCTCAACCAAAATAAGTATGTTTACACATGTATCCGTACGTGTTGAAAAGCACATCGATTTTTTTAAAATAAGGACTTTTTTTAAAAAGTAAGTCACCTAAGTTTTATAATGAAAAGTAAATTCATGGCAGAAGAATTCATGGCCTGGATGAACTCCATGGCTGACTTGAATCTTATTCTGGCTCGGGGTAAGGAGCCTGCCTTTGAGGAGGTGATGTTCGTATTTCTCAGAAGATACACCCAGCCAGACAAAGTACGGACTTGGCTCTCAGCACCAAAAGGTGCTCTTCTCAGATGGGTGGTGATTCTTTCACCAAGACTCCAGTTAACTGTAACTAGGTTTGAGTTTTCATTACAGGTATTGAATGGACCACCAGACTCTTGACCACACTGGCTCTAGAGCCAGGCTTGCATTCCACGGGTCATTGTCTGCCCACGTGGCACGCGTGGACCAAAAAAATTGGCTAGTACTTCACGAGTTAGAGAAACAGAAAGCATCAAAACACAATGACGGAGGCCAAACGGAAGAGCAGCCATTGGAGGGAAGAAATCATTCCCGGTGCGTTTCCACCCGCGCTCACCATTTCTCTGGCATTCCGGCAAAGAGCCATGTCTGGGTCCAGTCGGTCACGCACAAAGTAGTTCCTCTCGTTCATCTCTGACCTCAGCGTCTCTCCTTTGATTAAGTACACGTTAGCCAGGTATGGAATGTTCCAGACTCCTCTGAAAGCAGGACGGACATTCCCAAACACCATCAGTAAGGGCGGGGGGCGGGGGGGGAGAGAAGGGGGGGAGTGGAGAATTAAGCTCTACTTTTTACACATTTAGAACAACTCATGCTTTGCTGTATAATTTGCATTCTGGGTACACCATGGTGGCATGGATGCACCCCCCCCCCCAGGATCGGATGTGTGTACGATCGCCTGACCCACACCACAGACTCCCCGGTGAGCAGTGAGGAAGGCTGCCATGCTCTGGTTCTCTGTGTGGCCTCTTGATGCATGAATCCCAAAAACCACCAAGATACTCATTCGTCATCATGGCGGGTCCCATAGCTGCCACACACCCGTGCCCAACTTTCCACCGTCCAACCTGCTGTCATATGGCCTGTCTGTGGCGTGATCACGCCTCATCTCTCAGGATGTCCCTTGAGGTTTCTGAAACTTGTTTTTCTTTTTGGGGGTCCGGTCGTGGGGCCTGAACTCTGGGCCTGGGTGCTGTCTGTCCCTCAGCTCTTCAGCTCAAGGCTAGCGCTCTACCACTTGAGCCACAGCACCACTTCTGGCTTTTTTCTTTTTGCTTATGTGGTGCTGAGGAATCGAACCCAGGGCCTCAGGCATGCAAGGCAAGCGCTCTACCACTGAGCCACCTTCCCAGCCCCCCACTTGTTTTTCTTTGTATAGCTTAGTTTTCCCTAGAACTTCATGACCTCAGGTGGCCCACAACGCACGATCCGCGTGGCTTGCCTTCAACATGAAGCACGAGGCAATAGCACAGGCCGGGGAGCGCCAGCATGCACGGGTGGCTGACCGCACCAGGGAGCGCCAGCCAGCATGCACGGGTGGCTGACCGCACTCGGCACCAGGAGACAGAACGGCGCGTCACTCACACTCTCTTGCCTTGCACGATGTCCACGTAATCCTCGGAACGGGCGTAGTACCCGTCGGGACTCAGGGCGCCCCAGAAGTTAGACCACAGCTTCCCGTGCCTGGTAACCAGAGGAGCGATGATCTTCCTGAAGACAGAGAAACGCACGGCGTCAGAGATTCATAACCCACCACCGGGTTACGGGTCTGGGCTTCGAATGACACATAACACAGTACAGTTCACTTCACAGAAATGTAAGGAACCCAAAAAGGTGTTTGGTTGTTTTTTTTTTTTTTTTGATAAAAGAAAAATTTCAACCAACACAGAGAGAAAAGTTGTTGAAAACACCAAAACACTAAAATGATTTTTTTTAACACAAAACTTTAGTTACAGCCAAGAAAGCGAAGCCACCCAATCCTTTATTACATCTAAATTTTACCTACATAGTTTGGAAATCCTATTAAATATTTTCATAGTCATTGGCAAAAACAAGAGGAGCCCTGAAAGAACCAAAGCACCCAATAAATATCCGCTGAACCAATAAAACAAGTAGAGATGAGCTGAGACATTTGTCAATAGGCCACATTCCCTGTAACCAAGTTCCAAATCACTTTAAAGTATGTTTCTGTTTTGTGGGTTGTTTTTTTTTTAATGTCTCTTAAAATGGATTGTGGTTACAGTAAGTTTGCCCTGACAATGCTGAACTTCTATGCTCCTTTATTTCAGAAAATAAAACAGAAGGTAATTGCTTTAGAAAACATGAACGACCCTCACCCTAACAAAACTTCAGGTTGAAGGGTAAGTGTGCTTGTGTTGGTACGTGGAGGTAAGACTAGAAATGGATTAGGGCAAGGGTCCCAGTATCAAGAGCCAATCTGGGGAGGTGCCTCACGCCTGTCAATCTAGCTACTCAGGAGGCTGAGACCTGAAGACCAAGGTTCAACATCAGCTCCAGGGGTGGGAAAATCCATGAGATTCTTATTTCAATGAACCACCAAAAAGCCAGAAGTAGAGCTATGGTCAAGTGGTAGAGTGCTAGCCTTGAGCAAAAATACTCAGGGACAGTGCTTGGGCCCTGAGTCCAGTACTAACAAACCACAATGAAAACTAACCAACAACAAGAAAAACGGACTAAGGTCCTTAACTCGGGCAAAGCTTGTTATAAAAGGAAATGGTTTGATCCTCTTTATTTTTTCCCTTCCTTCCTTCCTTTCCTTCCTCGTTCCTTCCTTCTTTCCTTCCTTCACTCCTCCCTCCCTCCAGCTGTCCCTCCCTCCCTTCCTTTTCTTTCTCCTACTCCTCTTCCCTCCCTCCCTGTTCCAGGCTGTCTTACCAGCCTGTTGAAAAGCAGAAAGAAGCCCCTGAAGCTGTGTCGGGTTTTGTACCTGCGCGCACCAGGCTATGCACAAAATAAACTACTGCTTATAATTTATCCAGTCTATGTAACATGTCACACCAGGAGTAAGCGAAGAGGAAGCCACCCTGTCTTGTTGTGTATTTAAATTAGTGCCCGCAGAGGCATTATTAATGCACATAGATACTAATTCCCTGTCCGTGACTTCAGCCTTCCATATTCACCACCTTTTGCTATGTGCAGAGTTCTTATGGAAAGGACAGACTTCCGTACAGAAGCAAGAATGTAGCAAGTGCATGAACCCAAGACTTCAACAAAAGGCAGTGAGCCACGGAACTTTCAAGAACCCAGGACCCAACAAGCTGAGTTCATTGTGAAGGAAACTTTATTTCCCAAAGATTTAAACATTAGATCAGTATTAAGAATAGTCTATTTTAATCACCTGGTATGAATTCACTAATTAGCCCAGTAAAGTAACTATTATGTACCCACCAACATGTTACAAAAACACCGAAATATGTTGTGCACTGCAAATGACTGCACCTCAGTCAAATAAATTCAAGAAAGTACTACTGAATTCTCCTGGAGTTGCAAGCTGCCCTTCACTCAGTAATTCCTAGAGTACCCCACCTGCTCATCCTTGCCAAACAACCAAATCCTTTTTGATATGCTGTGGAAAACTGCTTGAAATCTGTAGCTGGTTAACGCAAACAGATACGCACGCATGCGTAGAGAGACCGTGACATGCAGGTGTGGACAGATCTTGCAAAGCCTGAGATTTAGGAGAACTAAGTTTTCAAACTGGCAGCCCCCCAGGGACATGTAACAGGATGGAATGTGGCCAAACAGATCCCCTACGCACTTCCCTTAGCTCAGTAAAAACCGTTATCCCAGCATTCAGCCTGTCTGCTGTGAGGAACAATGGTTCATGGAATGCGCTTGGAAGGATACTCACTCTGAGGAGATGAGCCGTCGGGAGCGGCAGCCGCGGGAGGATTCACAGACAGAGAGGAACATCATTGTTAGCGGGGACAGACAGGCGCCGTTCTCAATCAATCCATTACAGTGAAAGCAGGAAGTACCAAGGACCATCAAGTTAAGAGTAGGTGAAATTACCACTCTTTGGCTGTGGAATGTGACCTCTGGATTCTTACTTTCCCTTCAGAGTGTAAAAACTACAACTCTCTCTGTAGGAACTCATAGGCCTTACGTGTTAGGAAATCCTACATTCACTGTGTCACCTGAGAATAAAACAATTGTACATTTCCCTAGTCTGAGGATAGGGAAATTCCATCTAGCGTTAAGTAGAAACAAGTCAAATGGAATATCACAGACACACGTGTGTGACGTTAATGAACGGTAACTATTCCTATCACGGGGTTTATTCATGAAAAGTGATCTATTTAAAAAGTAACGTTAATAAAAAGTATACTTTATTACTTTAATGAAAAGTAATTTATTGAATAAAAAGGAATTTATTAGAAATGGAAGAGTATAAGATGTAGAAAATAACCCCATTTGCACAGACAGAATATATCCACAGAGATGTGGATATATTGGATAAATTGTTATCTCAGTAAAATCAGCTGCTATCAAGTCTTATTACCTGTTTTGCTCAATCAAGATTTTGAGAGTCCTTGGATTGGTCAAAACCACGTCGGCATCCACACTAAAGTAGTAATTGCACTTTTCATCTTGGCGACAGAAATCCCTGGCCACAGGAAGAAACAATGATAAGGAATTACTTAAAATAAACATCTCCTGTTTGAAAAAACTAACATAAAACTGGCATATCACCTAAGGCTTCCCTAAGGCTTTTTCCATCAAAATAAATATCCTAAATTCCAAAACCATCAACGAACAGACACAGATGTTCACTAAAATCGGGGGGGGGGGGGGGGCAGTATGTGGAGTGTGTGTTAAGCTATTTAAGTCTTTTAGCACATGAAAACATCTGCTCGCCACGGTGGTTTGCAGTTCAGCATGCAGTGATCTCAGAGTGAAGAGTAACTTATCCCAGTGCACACCTTCTTTTCTGAGCCATTTTACACAAATATACATCTTTCACGGGATGGAATCTTGAGTCTCCAACGACTCAGTTTCCAGGGATTTGTGGAGATGTTATGTGAATACTTGGCATACCAGTAGTTCTTAAACCTGGTCTGCATTGCATTCTTTCTAAGAGAAGTTCTTCTCCACTGCCTGCTTCCGAGGGGCCCTGTAGGGTCTGGTTTTGGGGAATAGTGTCTGTCTTGCGGACACACCATCAAACCGGCCCCAGACAGGAAAAATTAATGATTAATTATTCACAGCTCTTGCTGTGGCTTCACACACACACACAGAGCAAACAGTCAACTCCCCAATTTAATATACTCATTTGAGAGACAAAAAGATTTGATTTCTTCCCCTCCTTGAAGCTTCTTCTAGAAGAAACATTTAGCGACTCATTCAGTATAAGTGTATTCAAACATACATTCCCATGTTTCTGGCTTCCGCTTGGCTTAATTTTTCTTCTGGCCCTACTATTTTTATGGTGCCGATCTCATGTTTAGCTTTGTCATAAAACACCTTGATCTCCTTCTCATGATACACTTCCTGTAACGCACAACGAAAAACACTGCATGTTAGAGAAAAGACAGTGAGATGAGATGGGAGAGGGCTTCCCCTCGCAGCCTGGGCATTCCACGAGTCACACGCTCCTTCCCTTACAGAAAGGAGAGCATGCTCAACCAGTTACCACCTGAAATCACACTCGGACTCTGAGATGTGTGCGATCAATACTTAAAACAGAAGATACCTCAAAAGCACTTTACAACCTACTTCTACAAGGGGGTTCTTGGTAGATATACGTGTGTTTTTATTTATGTGTGTGTGTGTGTGTATGTGTGTATTCCTAACTCAAAGGGAAAAATGACTCTGAATACCATATGCTGAATTTAGACGGTGGGCTTTAAAAAAAAAAAACGCAAGTAGCAGTTCCTCCCACCCAAAAGACCCCAAGGAGCTGTCCCCTGGAACACACTTACTTTGTTATGAATGAAGAGCTTCAGTGCTTCTTTGGGGTAATCCAGCGTCAACAACAGGTCCAGGAATCGAGGTAGGAAAGGCGTTGGTTGCTCAATAAAAACGCCTAAGGTCACATTCGGCAACACCTTGTTTCAGAACAAACACAATGGGGGTCATCCTTTGTGTGCCCTTCCACCGTTCTGTTAAGATCTTAATCAGTACGGCAGGGAAGAATACTAGAACTTCAGCTCCTCAACAGTGGAGTTAGGCCACTGTCAAGGAGATTTCATTACTTCCTTTCTTGTTGTTGCCTCAGGCTTAACAGGGAAAAGAGCCTACTCTATTGTATGCAGGCTCTTCAAAGACCAGCCGAGCCTCCAGTTAGGGTTTCCATTGATACCCCTCAAAGCAAACAACAACAATTAGAGCTCTATTTTGAAAACAGCATCTGAGAAAGGAGGGTGTTAGGGTGAGGTCTCTGCTCGGCCCGCCCTCAATGAGAGCCCAGGCCTAGCTGGAGAGAGACCCGAGTTAGATCTCCAGCACCACAAAGAGGAGAAGAGGGAAGAGAGGCTGTGGAGGAGGAAAAATGGAGGAGGAGGAGGAGGAGGAAGAGCAGGAGGGGAAGAAGAGAAAGAGGAGAGGAGATGGAGGAAGAGGAAGAACAGGAGAGGAAGAGGAGGAGAAACAGAGGAAGAAGAAGAGGAAAAAAAGGAGAAAGAGGACATTGAACAGCCTTCTTCCACCAGGTTTCTAAATACATAAAGCCCAGAAATTTCACCGTGCATTTAGGAAAGAGCTGTTCCCTTTCTACCACGTTTTGACAGGCTATAGACAAAGCAGCTTAAGAATCAAGTGATTTACTCCTAAGTGAAAAGAAAAAACCTTTGAACGTTTACAACTGCCTGCACTGCCCCACCTTTGTAGAACACGCCTAAAAAGAAAAAAAAGCAACAGCAGATGAAACAGGAGTGTCTTCCCGGCCGAGGACAACGCTCCTCTCTGCAAAACAGATCAAGACGCGCTCCCCAAACTCTCCATTCAGAAACAGCCTGGCGCCCTTCCGCAGAGGAAACATTCTGCTTGTTATGTGAGAGACTGGCCAGCAAGCCTAACTTTCAAGTAACCTGGGGCTCCGTCCAGAAGCCCTGGCTGAGCAAGGGCAAGCTGCTGCTGCTCCTCCTCCCGGTGGAACCCGGGAGGAACACAAAAGGCTGGAGCCAGGAGCCACGGGGCGAGGAACTACACCAGGAAGCTTCCAGAATTATCTCCCAGAATGACTGCACGGCTTCTCCTAGTTGGACATGCTGCAGGTAATCCATAAATCCAGGGTGAAACTCTGCCGTCATGGCAAAACTGCTCTTCAGGAGCTGGGAAGGTGGCTTGGGGGTAGAGTGCGTGAGGCTCAGGGTTCCATTCCTCAGCACCACAGAAGTGGAAAAAGCCGGAAGTGGCGCTGTGGCTCAAGGGATAGAGTGCTCACCTTGAGCTGAAGAGCTGAGGGACAGCGCCCAGGCCCAGAGTTCAAGCCCCACGACTGACAAAACAAAAAAACAACAAAAAAAAACCCACTCCTTAGCCTCCACATGCTCAGGCGTACTGCTTCCAGAGCAAGCAGCAGGGAAAAATGGGGCAAAGGAGGATTTCTAAAACTGCCATGATGGGTGACAGAACAAGGTGCCACAAACAAGTGAACGAATAATAAAGAAATACCTCTACTGCTTTTACCCTCGAAGCACTAACGATACACGACAGCCAGAACTGTCTATGTAGAGATACGTATTACATATGCCTATATTACACACCCAGGTATAGGTAAATATCCTATGTGAGTGTACAGGTAGACACCATATATCCATGTATAGACATTACATATACGTTATGTGTACATATTACATTACATATGTATTACATATACACAGTACATGTACATATTATGTTACATATGTATACATATGAATGTGTAGATATATTACACAAGTATGGCTAGGTTTACATTAGATATCTTATATGGATATGCATTACATATACACGTATAGCTATACATTACCTACTTATATACGTACTGTATGTATATAGATATGCATTGCATATCTACTTACAGACATATATGATGTGTGTGCAGGTATAGATTACATGTCTGTGTGTAGATGTCACATTGCATGGGGATGTGTAGACATATTGCATATGCATGTGCAGATACATTACATACATGTGTGTAGACGTTGCGTGCCTGTGTGTAGGTATGTTACATGTGTAGGTGTTGGTACAGTACATGCGTACATGTGGCTATACTGCATATGTACAGCTCTAGTAGAGGCGGCTGTGTGGATGTATTAGGTATGTGTAGCTATGTTATATGCCTGTGAGTATGTATGTTAATGCATGTAGACACATCACCCGTCGATGTGCGTGGCTTGTGGCGGACACAAGGCGCTCAGCAGGAGTGCTTGTCAGGATGCTGGTTATATTTCCCACTTCCTCAATCCTACTCCAATAATCCATACCTGCTCGCCCTTGACTGAGCCAGTCATCCGCCTGAGTACTTCAAGAGCTCTCCTCGGCCAACTGAGCAAACAGAGACCGCTGGCATTCAGCACCCTGAGCACCTGACGCACCCAGAGCCTTTCTTACAGATGCAACTCCACACTACCATCGACTACATCCTCAGATGAACAGGTAGCACTAGACATCCTCTGGCGGACGGTGGAGCGCTGTACCATTTCCGCCCTGCCTTACCAAACCAAGAGACCAAAGTAACCCCACAACACCCCAGCACCCTCGGCGACTAAATGCGAACAGCGCGGCTTTTGGGGGTTCACTTTTTTCCCTTTATAAACAGCTCTGGAAACACACAAAGCCGGCAGTTTTCGGAACCACTGGGTTTTCCAGGTATAAACCGATGTATCTACTACACAAAGCGGGAACGCTGAGGTCTTTGTACCCCACCCGTGAATCGCTCACACAGGATCAATTCCACTCACGTCCGCCGCAGACAGATCGACAGTGTCCAAGTCACAGACGGTGCAGCCGCTGTCCTGCGTCCAGGAGTTGGGCACGTAGTTCCCAAAGTAATTCAGGAGAATCTGGAAGACGAGCAGAGTCAGAGCACAGTTAGTCCTTATCGCCAGCATATTTGCATTGGATGAACTCCTGACACCCCTTCGGGGCACGTTTTGGCACGTGTACACACCCTCGGGGATTCTAAGTGTCACCTGGAGGGGAGCCCTGAACAGTGTTTCTTCAGAAGCCTGTCTTGTTGAGAAGGATGAGCTGCAGGTAGAAATGCCAAAACGTGTGCTCCACATCATGAAGGCCCTTTCATTCAATACAATGAATAATGCTGAGAAAGACTATAGACAAACCCAACAAACACCCTTCTAAATACGCGAGTGGCCCATCCTACCCCCGCCAAGATGAGCCACGGGAAGAGTAAAGCAGCAGGAAGACAAACGTCTTCTAAGGCACAGACTCTAGATGCGACAATGAGACCATTCACCAACGTTTGACTCAACAGAGTGCTGGCCAACTGTATCACCAAAACACACACACAGGCACCAAGCTCTTCCTGGAAACTAGGCCATTAGAAATGAGGAACTCGCCAGGCTGAAGAGGCTGAGATCTGAGGATCAAGGTCTGACGGCCAGCCTGGGCAGGAAAGTCCCTGACACTCTTAGCTCCAATTAACCAGCCCCTCCCCACCCCCCAAAAAGGAAAATATAAGCATGGAATGCATAGTTTAATATATCACAGGAAAGATTTTTTTTTCCCCTTTTGGTCAGTCACAGGACTTGAATTCAGGACCTAGACACTCACTGTTCCTGAACTTTTTCCGCTCAAGGCTAGCATGCTACTATTTTGAGCCACAGTGCCACTTCTAGTTTTCTGGTGGTTCAGTGGAGATAAGAGTCCCATGGACTTTGGTGCCCAGGCTGGCTTCGAATCTCAACCCCCAACCTCCTGAGTAGCTAGGATAACGGGCCACCGGCGCCTGGTGCAAAGAATGTTTTAAAGGAAGTCAATCGCCTCTGGGTCCTGACCATAGGTAACATCCTCATCGCCTGGAAAGGCCAACAGACCTGCACATTTTCCATCTCTGCCATCTCATAAAAACTTAATGCGTCTACCATGCATTATTCATCAGCACACTGCAATCCCGTCCGGGAACGCGCAAGTGATCAACAGCTCTGAGAGGTCAGAGTACGAAAAGGAATTACTCCCCATCTTTAGATCTTTCCAGTCCCGGCATTTAACACCTTCTGCTTCGGAGATGTCGGGAGGGCTCCTGCCATGCCTTTGTGGGAGCCACTCCCGGGGTCTCTCCACACAGCCGCCCTGTCAACAGCTGTTTTGGGTGGGGTTTTTTTTTGGTCTTTTTTTTGTTTGTCGGTCATGGGTCTTGAACTCTGGGCCTGGACGCTGTCCCTCAGTTATTCAGCTCAAGGCAAGTGCTCTACCACTTGAGCCACAGCGCCACTTTCAGTTTTCTGAGTGGTTTATGGGAGATCAGAGTCTCGTGGACTTTCCTGCCTGGGCTGGCTTTGAACCTCGATCCTCAGATCTCAGCTCCTGAGCAGCTAGGCTGACAGGCGTGAGCCATGGGCCGCTGGCTGTTTTCCTCATTCCGCCTGGGGCTGTGGATGTGGTCAGGTCACTGTTTCAGGGCATTTCCCAGCGTGGACTGCCTCCATTACACCGACGTGTTTCCAAGCCCTGGGTCATCTCCACTGGCAAAGAAGCTTCCAGACAGTCCTTTCCTCATCGGCCTGTCTTCATGAAACCTTCCTGCCTCGCTCCCTGCTCCTGTCTTCCCTCTTCCCACACGTCCTCCCTTCCTTCTTCCTTCACTCCTCCTCTTTTTCTTTCCTTTTTTCCTTCCTTCCCTCTCCTTTCCCTTCCATTTCTTCCTCTCCTCCCCTCCCTCCCTTCTTTTCTTCCTTCTCTTTTTTCCTTCCTTCCCGCTAAGTAACTGACACTGAGGTGTGAATCACAGCATTCTGGCGCGGAAATCTCTTCAGTATGTGTCATTCACACAAAACCAGGTGACGGACCGTGGAAAAGATGGCTGATGGTTCACACCAAAACAAAACCGGTTCAGAGACATTCAAAATATGAGAGAATAATTACATATATGAAGAGACAAGGCCATGTACAGGGGCATGGGGCCTGCACTCTGAGGCTCGCGTTCTGGGGGGCGGGCAGGGAAGGGGGGCGGGCAGGGAAGGGGGGGCGGGCAGGGAAGGGGGGTGTGGGCAGGGAAGGGGGGCAGGCAGGGAAGGGGGGGCGGGCAGGGAAGGGGGGGCGGGCAGGGAAGGGGGGTGTGGGCAGGGAAGGGGGGTGTGGGCAGGGAAGGGGGGTGTGGGCAGGGAAGGGGGGCGGGCAGGGAAGGGGGGGCGGGCAGGGAAGGGGGGGCGGGCAGGGAAGGGGGGGCGGGCAGGGAAGGGGGGGCGGGCAGGGAAGGGGGGTGTGGGCAGGGAAGGGGGTGTGGGCAGGGAAGGGGGGCGGGCAGGGAAGGGGGGCGGGCAGGGAAGGGGGGGTGGGCAGGGAAGGGGGGGTGGGCAGGGAAGGGGGGCGGGCAGGGAAGGGGGGCGGGAAGGGGGGCGGGCAGGGAAGGGGGGCGGGCAGGGAAGGGGGGGCGGGCAGGGAAGGGGGGGGGTGGGCAGGGAAGGAGCGCGGGCAGGGAAGGGGGGGCGGGCAGGGAAGGGGGGGGCGGGCAGGGAAGGGGGGGCGGGCAGGGAAGGGGGGCGGGCAGGGAAGGGGGGGCGGGCAGGGAAGGGGGGGGCGGGGACTCACACTAGTGGGCCCGTTCCCATTGATGGGGGCGGGCAGGGAAGGGGGGGCGGGGACTCACACTATTAGGGCCGTTCCCGTTGATGGGGGCGGGCAGGGAAGGGGGGCGGGCAGGGAAGGGGGGCGGGCAGGGAAGGGGGGTGTGGGCAGGGAAGGGGGGGGGTGGGCAGGGAAGGGGCGCGGGCAGGGAAGGGGGGGCGGGCAGGGAAGGGGGGCGGGCAGGGAAGGGGGGCGGGCAGGGAAGGGGGGCGGGCAGGGAAGGGGGGGCGGGCAGGGAAGGGGGGGGCGGGGACTCACACTAGTGGGCCCGTTCCCATTGATGGGGGCGGGCAGGGAAGGGGGGGCGGGGACTCACACTATTAGGGCCGTTCCCGTTGATGGGGGCGGGCAGGGAAGGGGGGCGGGCAGGGAAGGGGGGCGGGCAGGGAAGGGGGGTGTGGGCAGGGAAGGGGGGGGTGGGCAGGGAAGGGGCGCGGGCAGGGAAGGGGGGGCGGGCAGGGAAGGGGGGGCGGGCAGGGAAGGGGGGCGGGCAGGGAAGGGGGGCGGGCAGGGAAGGGGGGGGCGGGGACTCACACTAGTGGGCCCGTTCCCATTGATGGGGGCGGGCAGGGAAGGGGGGGCGGGGACTCACACTATTAGGGCCGTTCCCGTTGATGGGGGCGGGCAGGGAAGGGGGGCGGGCAGGGAAGGGGGGCGGGCAGGGAAGGGGGGTGTGGGCAGGGAAGGGGGGCGGGCAGGGAAGGGGGGCGGGCAGGGAAGGGGGGTGTGGGCAGGGAAGGGGGGCGGGCAGGGAAGGGGGGCGGGCAGGGAAGGGGGGTGTGGGCAGGGAAGGGGGGCGGGCAGGGAAGGGGGGGCGGGCAGGGAAGGGGGGCGGGCAGGGAAGGGGGGCGGGCAGGGAAGGGGGGCGGGCAGGGAAGGGGGGTGTGGGCAGGGAAGGGGGGTGTGGGCAGGGAAGGGGGGCGGGCAGGGAAGGGGGGGCGGGGACTCACACTATTAGGGCCGTTCCCGTTGATGGGGGTGGGCAGGGAAGGGGGGTGGGCAGGGAAGGGGGGCGGGGACTCACACTAGTGGGCCCGTTCCCGTTGATCACCACCGGCAGCGTTTCGTAGAACGTGTTTTTGACTCGTGTCTTGCCGTTCTCAAATTTCAAAACCACTTCATCTGGGTTCAGAAGAGAAAACAAGTTTTGGTCATGGGGGAACCGAGGTCTGTCTGCTCAAGTGCTTCTGTGTGGTCACAAAAATCCCCCAGAGATACAGGGCTCCCGGTGCCCAACCTACCACGGAGCTCAGCCTGCTCAAGGCAGAAGATTCTAGAGCAGACACCGGCACTGCCCCACCTAAACACATCACCTAAATCCCCCTGGCCTAAATCCACCAGGGCGGTTTACACACACACACACACACACACACACACACACACACACACACACACACACAGTGTGTTCTCTCTCTCTCCTCCCTTCCTTCTTCTCTCTCTCTCCCTCTCTTTTTCTCCCTTTTTCTAACCTATCTGTATAGTTCCTGAGTCGTAAGAGGCTACTGTAATTCTCTCAGGGAGTTCCCAATTGCCCAGAATTTAACAGAAGGATGGGCAATTAAGGATAACACATACCTACCATCCCCCCCGGAAAATAAAGAGATTATCTAGTTGTAAGTTACCAGGTTCGGAAGCATCTCTTTGTCAACACTAGTCTCAGGAAGACATTTTTAACTGAACCGGTGAAATACACCGAGCTCAATCTGTCCAGTATGCTTGAACAGTTCTAACACATATACCGCACACCGTAGCTCTTGAAGGGTTATAACGCATATACTGCACACCGTAGCTCTTGAACGGTTATAAAGTATACACTGCACACCGTAGCTCTTGAATGGTAGCTCTTGAAGGGTTATAACGCATATACTGCACACCGTAGCTCTTGAACGGTTATAATGTATACACTGCACACCGTAGCTCTTGAATGGTAGCTCTTGAATGGTTATAACGCATATACTGCATGCTGTAGCTCTTGAACGGTTATAACACATATACTGCACATGGTAGCTCTTGAAGGGTTATAACGCATACACTGCACTCCATAGCTCTTGAAGGGTTATAACGCATGCACTGCACACGGTAGCTCTTGAAGGGTTATAACGCATGCACTGCACTCCATAGCTCTTGAAGGGTTATAACGCATACACTGCACTCCATAGCTCTTGAAGGGTTATAACGCATGCACTGCACGCCGTAGCTCTTGAAGGGTTATAACGCATACACCGCACGCCGTAGCTCTTGCCACCCAAATGGGGTCTGGTAAGGAGAAGGTCACTGGGACAGATAAGCAGCCTGCATACCTACAGCTCCGTTTAGGGTCTGGAAGATTTTGCACTTGTGGTCCAATGTCATGTTGAGGGCTTCCTAGAAAGGAATGGAGACTGCATTACAGAAATTATTACATATGAAAAAAACATTCCCCAACTGCAGATCCCTTTTCTCCACTTCCTGGACACGGGCGGGAGGCCTCGGGACCCGGCGGCCTGCTGGGCACAATGCCGACTCCTAGCACACCGGGCACGGGGCACGGGGCAGGCCCCTTCCTCAGCAACAGTGCAGGCAACTTTAACACTAAAGGGCTGTCTCCTGAGGAAACTCAGCCCTCCTCCCTCTGCCAAACATTTGGTGGTTTTCATCCATCCATCCATCCATCCATCCATCCATCCATCCATCCATCCATCCATCCATCTATCTATCATCCATACCTATCATCCATCATCTATCCATCATCCTCTATCATCGTCTGCGATCACCATCTACCTTCTAACGTGCCTGCCATCTATCATTACCCACCATCGGTGTTCTATGTCTATACTCTACCCACCATCTACCAGCCATCATTTATCTATCCTCTATCTATCCATCATGAATCCATGAGTATGTACGTGGATACACACTGTAAACACCTATGCACTTACCACAGTGAGACTACTCCTACTATTACCATGTGCTCAGTTCTTTAAAAAGGGAAACAAAGGGTCTTCCTGCTGGCCTTACTTTCAAGTCCTTTCAGATGTAACATTACAAAAAAAAGGGTGTCGTTTCTGACGCTTCATGCCTTCATAAACGAAAAGCTCTACGTTCCAAAAAAATCTCAGGGAAATCATTTTCTAGTGCTTGGGACTTGACGGTGTCTTTAAAACCTCCAGGCCGCAAGAATATGCTGCGGGGCCTAACCCAGCTCCAGACAGAGAGGCACAGGATGCTGGGGGGGGGGGGTCCCTTCTTCTCCCACGCCATGTCAACACCTGCTCCATGCAACTCTGTAGAGACCTCAGACCCAGACAAGATCCAGAGGGCCAATGGCCTGGCTGCCGGGAGGGAGGGAGGAGGGAGGGAAGGCGGGAGGGATGGAGGGAGAGCGGGCGGGCACAAGCCTCCACCTACCCTTTTCCCAGCGTCAATGTACAGCTTGGTGTAGAAGAGCTGGTCATCGTCGTTGTCCTGCAGGCTCCAGTGTGCCACCATGCGGCTGATGTACGGAGCGTAGCCCATGAACCCTGCCAGGCAAGGAGACAGCACGCGAGTCAGCACCCACGGACCCACACACCGGGCGCCCACAGAATTCCACCCAGCAGCTGACCCACGCTGCAACACCGGGAGGACTCGGCACAGCTCACCCCCAAAGGAATGCCACCGAGTATCCTTGGCGCACACACACACACACATGCACATATGAACGTGTTAATAGGCCATACAGATATGTATCCCATACATATCACATAGCTGCTCCAAGAGAAATAAGGGTGACTACCAACGGCAAAAGGAAATACCCAGGCTCCTTTTTTAAAAAACAGCATTCCAAAAGCAAACTGACACAGAGTGGGGAACTGTGATTTTCCTTCAAGGCTGCCAGGGGAAAATGGCTGGCCGGGAGGGAGAGAAGGGAGTCAGGCAGAAGACCCTCCTCTGGGCCTCCGCAAAGGCTCGTTTGAAGGCATCGCTGGGAGGAGGCCACCTTTCATCTCAGCGCCAGCAGCGATCACAGGAACGTTGGATTTGTCAATGAGGACAAAAAAAAAAAAAAATCACAAAGACATTTTATACCCAAGACATTTGAGGGCATTTTTTTTCCATGACCGCGCCTGCTAAATAAACCCTTTTCTGGCTTGGATTTGTGTGTCATAGTCTGTAAAAGGAAATCTCAAGTTGGCTTGCTCCCCTCGGCTTCCCAGCCCAAGAGCCTGACCTGCCAAGAGCGTCTGTCTAGAAAAACAGAGCGACAGGGCCGGCTCTGCCAGCCCCGGCCCCGGCATGTCAGGAGCGTGGCCAAGCCACCGTGTTCCACCGAGGGCCCGGCGTATACAGAGGGGCCCGGGGTCCCCGGACCGCCGACGGGAAACCTCATTTTCCCTCTGTAACCTTCACGCTTCAGGTTTCCTCAGAGGAACGAAGGGAGGAAAGGAAACAGGTCGGGGAATAGGACTTGCCATCCTGAGCAAACCAACAGAAACAAAAACGTGACAGAAGCCATTCACCTGGGCTCCTCTTGCCGCCTTCTCCACAAGTTTAAGAAACCCTCGCGTACTAAAAGACCATCTTTCATACCCAGAATAGTCATCTCGACAAAATATGGTTAAGTAGTAACCCACGGCACTTTCCAGTGGTTTATATGACTGGTTTTCAATAATCATGTTTGCTCTTACCCTTTCTGTTTCTATATGTAAATTCTTTTTTTTTTGTTGGTCGTGGGGCTTGAACTCTGGGCCTGGGCGCTGTCCCTCAGCTCTTCAGCTCAAGGCGAGCGCTCTACCATTTGAGCTACAGCGCCACTTCCGGTTTTCTGGTGGTTTATTAGAGATAGGAGTCTCACTGTCTCTCCTGCCCGGGCTGGCTTTGAACCTCGATCCTCAGATGTCAGCCTCCTGAGTAGCTAGGATGACAGGCGTGAGCCACCAGCGCCCGGCTCTATATGTAAATTCTATCTGTCTGTCTATTATTAAGTAATGGTAGAAGAGGGGTTACAATTCCTTAAGTCAGGTTACGAGCACAGTACTTCTTAGCCAATATCACCATTTCTCCACCATTTTCTCCCCAACCCTTTGTTTTGTTTTGCTTTGTTTTTGTTGTTGTTGTTTTTGCCGGTCATGGGTCCTGAACTCTGGGCCTGGACGCTGTCCCTTAGCTCTTCAGCTCAAGGCTTTAGCTCACTCTACCACTTGAGCCACAGCGCCACTTCAGGCTTTTTCTGTTTATGTGGTGCTGAGGAATGGAACCCAGGGCCTCATGCATGCAAGGCAAGCGCTCTCCCACCGAGCCACCTTCCCAACCCCCTCCCCAACCCTTTAAGTTACATTTTTTACCCAACGCTTTATCCTTTTCATTAAACCAAATTGTCACTAAATCAATAAAAAGCAATGACGTGCATCCCCACAGTATAGAATGCGATACCACATCATTTACATTTTTTCTAATAAACACTACATCGTGGCTTTTTACAAAAATAATTCATAACTCCTTCAGTCGTTCTTAATATGGCACCCATCCACTTGGACAGACTCACGTTTTCCAACGTGTGTCTAAATCATCTCAGAGAATTCCCGTAGCCTACGCTGCAGGGCACGCACGATGCTGGGGCACACGCAGCACGCCTCCCCCCCGGCTCACCACGGCAGCGCCCGCCCAGATTCCGCTGGTTCCCTAGCGCTGTGAGGGACGTGGACTTCACCTATCTGAGCGGACACGTCACTATCTAGATGAACTAAGACAACGCGATGTCACTACATTTATATATCAGGTCTTGGAAGGAAAACTAATAAAGGAAAACCTACCCTAGATGTGACTGCTACATTCCCTTGAAAAATCAGCTTTCTAGAGCTGGGCCTGGTGCGCAGCTCACACCTGAAATCCCAGCCACTCGGGAAGGAAGAGATCAGGCAGGAGTGTGGTCCCCAGACAGCCTGGGCAGAAAAAGTCTGATGGCGTCTCATAACCAAGCTGGGCACTGTGGTTCATGCCTGGAATCCCAGCTGTGCAGGAAACACAGGGACACAGCCAAGCTGAGCACATGAACATGGATATACTTTTTTTTGTTGTTTTTGGTTGGTCTTGGGGCTGAACTCTGGTCCTGGGTGCTGTCCCTGAGCTCTTCAGCTCTACCACTTGGGCCACAGCGCCACTTCCTGTCACTGGAATCCAGCGTCCATGCTGCGAGTTTCCAGAGAGACCGTGGAGTTGGATTCCTGATATCATGCGCAATTGCCAGGGCACGGGTTCTGGGAAATGGCTTCATTACAGATTAAAAGCAAGACTTTCTTTGGCCGGGCACCGGTGCCTTCACATCTGTCACCCTAGCTACCCAGGAGGGCCGCCATCTGAGGATGCAGATTCAAAAATCAGCCAGGGTAGGAAAGTCCATGAGACTCTCATCTCCAATTAACTACCAAAAGAAAAAAAGTCAGAGGCGGAGCCGCGGCTCGGAGCGGCGGGGTGCGGGCCTTGCGTGAGGAGGCAAGCAAAGCTGACAAAGTATTGACAACTTCATGAACAACTGTTACTTAAAAACCACAGTCATTCAGTGCCCGTTTATGATTTGCCAGGCAGGCATGAACACGGAACCCACCTCCGGCGTTGAGGTACCGCTTCCCGATGTGCACCACGGGGTACTTGTCTGACAGTCTCTTGTCTGGCCACAGAATTCCATCGGCCGCGAAGACGACTTTGTGGTTGGACTTTTGGAACTTCTTGAGCACTTCCTCGGGGCCACCGGCAAATATGACATCAAAACTGTTTGACAGAGGGGGAAAAAAACCCAAGATTTTAAATACCCAAACATTTTTAGGCACACAAACCAGGAAAAGAGATCTCGGATACATATCAGAATCTAAAGCTGGGCACAAGTGGCTCACGCCTGTCATCCTAGCTACTCAGGAGACAGTAAGATCTGAGGATCTCAGTTCAAAGCCAGCCCAGGCAGGAAAGTCTATGAGACTCTTACCTCCAATGAACCACCAAAAAGCCAGAAGTGGAGGTGTGGCTCAAGTGGTAGAGATACTAGTGCTGAGTGGAAAAGCTCAGGGACAGCCCCAGAGCCTGAGCTCAAACTCCAGGACTGGCACACACACACAAACACACACACACACACCAACAAAGGATTATTGCCAACTATTTATTCAGAGCATAGCCAAAACCTCCCCCCACCCAACTTACGTTATAGGAATTGTAATGGATTTGAGTGTTCGCTATACATTAGCCAATGAATTCCAAAGGAAAGATTTTTTGCCATGAGACTCCTAATGTTATTTTCCATAACCACTTACTTCTGAGATAAAATGTCAAAACTATGTCGCGAAACGATAGAGATATGGGCCATGAAATAATTATAAAAACTAAATCAAAAACAACAACACCTGCCTCACTGCAAACACTCAACAGCGTGAGCAAAACAGAGACCACTATTTTAAAGGAGAGGCTGTTTTGAATCGAGAAGTTTCGAGTTTTTTACCGATTCAATTCTAAAAATGTATTTTTAGCCAGAGGCACATGTGTTTCAAAGTAAACCTTAAATATGTGTAAAACCATTCTGAAACCTCAGACCAATTTTCCAAGCACCAAAAAAGCAAAACTGAATGAATCTGACTTCTGAGAAACCCAACAAGTTTCTATTTGTCTTCTTCGTGCAACTCGTTTCCTCGGCCCGGTTTGAACACCAGCCTTTCCCTCCCGACGACTGATTGGAATAATGAATTCATACTGGGGCCGAGGACCTGAGTCCAGCGTTAGTGGGGGACTGTATCGGGAGACGTGAGGCCGAAGGGCTGAGCCCCGTGAAAAGACCCACCAAGCTAGAGCTCTAGAGCTGCTCTGGTCCTTCCTGCAGCAACAAGAACCGCAGAGAGCCCACATCGCTTCTGCAGATGGGGAGAGGAGGCTCTTCCGCCGGTCTCAAGAGCGTCCCCTAGCGCTCTGGGGGAGGAACTGCGAGAATGCTCAACTGGTTCGTCCAAGGCCAGCAGTAGGACTTGGCGGAAGACTTTATGGAAGGCTGGGTGAAATCTGTCTGGTGTCTGTGTGGTTGCTGGGACCACAGACACCGAGGACACAGGAAGGAAAACCCTTGTAAAGTGTCTGATGGCCTGGTGGAGACCGCTGTGACAGGCCTGGGTGACATCTCCACTGAAGAGCGTGCGTCGGAGCTGCTCAGGGAAAGGCTGGTGGTGTTCCTTGGGTGTGAATTGTCTCCAGAACCTATGAGAATTATTTTTAGAGACCTTGTGAAGTTTTGTTGTTTTTTTTCAGTAGCTATCTAAGTTGGGCAGAGGTGGCGGGGGGGGGGGGGGGAATCATTTTTACATAGACAAACTTTCTTGCCTCTTGAGAAGTTTTAAATAGGTTCCAAGAACTTCTCTGGAGCAAACTGCTGGGCAGAGTCTTCAGACTGCTGGCAAGGAGGCCCCAGAGCGGCGGACGACCAGTGTTTGCCCTGGCCTCTTCCAGGAGACAGGCCATCTGGTGTGACTCAGTCGAGCCACTGTGGTTCGAAACCAACCACAGGTGTGTACACAAATGAGCAGAGCCGGGCACAGAGCATCTTACAGCAACAGGCCAGGGGTGGGCCTGGCCCTGGCTTGTAGAATAAAAGCCCAGTGACTCGGCAGTGTATTAATAACCTCCCGTGAAAGACCTGGCTCTGAAGCCAAGTGGGATGAGTTGATTATCACCCCTCCCCTCTCCTCGGGTCAACGCTGCTGTTTTTCCAACTGGGCCTGACTGGTCCTCCTCCCAGGGCCACGTCCAAATCCAGTGCCTCCGCACTTCTGGGAAACAGCTCTCCTTCCTCTCAGCAGCCTCTGCTCTCTTCCCCCCCGGCCTCTACCATGCGTCTGCTCCCCAGTCCTCACGGGAAGAGGGCCTGTGCCTCCCTGCATCCCTAGCTCCAGGCCTGTGTCCGTCTGTCCCTCCCGTCAGTCTTGAATGTGCAAGACAGTAAGTAACCATCGGATGTGTGTTGAACAAATGAGTGAAGGAATGAATGACTCATACCACGTCTCGTCAAGGTACAAAGCTACGGGGAGCCGGGAAAGGAAGCAATGGAAGGCTTCCCTGGAATCATTTATTCTTCCTCTCCAATCCAAAGCTTTCTTCTTCATCACTGGAATCTGCTAGACACATGCACGCGCGCACACATACACGCGCACACACAGTCACCATCTGAAATCACCCACTCGTGACATCTCAGATTCAATTATAATAAACTCTCTGAAACAGGTCTGACCTAGGATTAGTGTGCAAATCTTTGTTGGATGGGAGACATGAGACTTCCTTCAAACCCACCCATTTATTACGGGATGGATCCAGCAGAGAGACAAAGCAAGGCAGGGAAGTCCTTCCCAGAAATCCCATCCGGCCCACACTCCCTCCTGCCACAGCAGCCTGGCTTGCGACAGCAGGCACCTACACCACAGTCAGACAGAGCAAGCGCATGCGACAGAAGCTGGGCACACACGATCGCCACACGGTACCAGACACGCACGATCTGCTGCGATTACGCTCAGCCAGCCACTTTTGATTCTGTCACTTGGTTATGTCAGGCTGTAGTTTTTTGATGTTGTTGTTGTTGTTGATGGTGGTGGTGGATTGAACTCTGGGTCTGGGCACTGTCCCTCAGCTCTTCAGCTGAAGGCTAGCTACCACTTCCGGTTTTCTGGTGGTTTATTGGAGATAAGAGTCTCACAGATTGTCCTGCCTAGGCCGGCTTTGAACCGTGATCCTCAGAGCTGCTAGGATTACAGGCGTGAGCCACTGGTGACCAGCCAGGCTGTAGTTTTTAATCTTACTTTTTTTTGGGGGGAGGGGTCAGCTTCAAGGCCCGGGCACTGTCCCTGAGCTGCTTTTGCTCAAGGCTAGCACGCTACCATCTGAGCCACAGCAACACTTCCAGCTTTTTCTGTGTATGTGGTACTGAGGAATCAAACCCAGGGATTCACGCATGCTAGGCCACATTCTACCACTACGCCACCTTCCCAAGCCCTAATGATTCCTTTGAACGTGAGGAGCTGTTAAGGGACTAGGGAAGGGGCGAACCTGGCAGAAATGCTTTGTGTGACACGCACGCAAAGATCCCCATGAGAACCTTCGGAGCAACGAATTTATCAATGACGACAGAAGAACCGAATCCATCATCAGGGCTGGGCATGCGGCTTGGCAGCAGCGTGCTTGCCTAGCATGCCTGAGGCCCTAGGTTCGATTCCTTGGTACCATATAAGAGCACAAAAATAATTGTTTTTAAATTGAATGCATACTCTACAAATATCAATGTGAGATCTTCAGGGCAAAATTTAAAACAGACTGAAGCTCCCCTCTCTCCCCTTCCCCCCTCCCCGGCCAGCTCCAAGGCCACCAGACTCACCATTCCGTAAAGAAGATGACCAGGTCCTCTTGGGTGGCGTAGTGCCGCATGGCTTCCTTCAGCAACCTCACCTTCTGACCCCCTCCGATGCTGTTGGTCCCACCGCCTCCTCTCCACTCTTCGCCCTGGCCGAGGACCTACACACACAATGACACTTCATTCGAATTATAACCGCTCCAGAGAAGGTCAGTACAGCACTATGTCATGTCACACAGGATCGTGATGTTACCAGAAAACAAGAAGACCTGGCGAGGTCCCCCCCCCCGCCCCCCGCCCAGCCCACTGCTCATTTTTTCTCTTTTCCTTGACTGTTTCAAGTTGGATCTTATCCACACGGCTGGACTGAAAGACTGTATTTTTAAACTCCCCCCCCCTTATCTGTTCAGACTAAAAGGAAAGAAAATGAATGAAGTGGTTATCCCACAGCCCTCCTCCCCGTTTTTTTCTCTCGGTCTGGCTGTAAATTCTGTAAAATCAGCATGGAAATCCCTTGGCCTCACGGACTCCTGGCTCAGGCCTGAAGCCATCTTCCGCTAAACCAAAACGGGTCGCGCCAGGGGAGTGTTGGAGACATCAAGGAAAATGTCACCTTCGTCATCCTCGAAATCATAACCTCTTCACGCGCCTCAATTAGAACTTACCAGTGTAATAAAAAAAAAAAAATGGTGGAAACGCAGTTTAAGCTACACTGCTAGTCTCTCTTGGTTCACAGCTTGGTGTCTTTTGGCATTGGGGACTGGCAGACATATGTTCCTTTATTCTATATTAAGATCTTTTTGCCAGCTGGGTGCCAGTGGCTCACGCCTATAATCCTAGCTACTCAACAGGGTAAGATCTGAGGATCACTGGTCAAGGCCAGCCTGGGCAGGAAGATCCATGAGCCTTTTATTTATATAAATAGCCACCAAAAGTAAATACATAAAATAAAACAGAAGTGGAGGTTGGCTCAAAGTGATAGAGCACCAGCCTTGAGCAAGAAACTCAGGGACAGTGGCCAGGCCCCAAGTTCAAGCCCAAGCCCCATCACACACACACACACACACACACACACACACACACACACACACACACACAATCTTTGCCGGCAAATCTTGGACTCTTGAATATTTTTATTAAATGCTTTAAATGCTAGGTACATTTCACAATAGCAGAACTCAGTTTTTCTCTAAGCACATATCTTTTTCTTCTAATTCTTTTTTTCCCTCTCTCTCTTTCTCTCTTTTATGTCCTACCTAAATACATCCTTGTTCTCCTCTTCTAGCTCTAGCTGCCAGATCTATTTTTTAATGTAATTAAATAAAATAAAAACAGCAGGCTGCTAACAGCTCAGTTTAATGGTTTTACAAAGTTTCCTCTCTGATTGCTTATCAGCGAAATGTTCCCCCAGACAACTCCTTAGCTGCAACTCTTGTCAACTTTTACTTTGTTCCCAAATTCCTATGAAACAAACACACAGAAAAATAAAGCTGGGAAAGCAACCTTGAGCAAACAGAAAGTTAAGATAAGGACTTTACAAGTTCCATTCCAATTATCTGGAAACGAAGAAGTGCACCAGGGCAGACAATCCATAAAGCACTCAGTCAGAAAGAAAGAAAGAAAAGAAAAGGAAAGGAAAGGAAAGAAGGAAGGAAGGAAGGAAGGAAGGAAGGAGAGAGAAGAAGAAAGAAAGAAAGAAAGAAAGAAAGAAAGAAAGAAAGAAAGAAAGAAAGAAAGAAAGAAAGAAAGAAAGAAAGAAAGAAAGAAAAGAAAGAAAAAGAAAGAAAGAAAGGAAAAGCAAAGCAAAGCTTAGGTCAATCTAAAGTCAAATCTTTAGAGTGTGTTTGCCTTCTGGAATGTCAAAATTCTCTATGTAGACAATATATATACTTTATGCAGGTGTTCTCTGGATTTATAGAACATGTTTGGATAAAGTATTGGTAAGTACTAAGGAATCTTTGTTTGCAGGGCAAGGTATTAAAAACACTACGGCTTCCCTTGGAAACTAGACAAACCCATTGAGTAGACAAATCCCACCTTCCTGGGTGGGTTACAGCTTGTGGTGTTATTGCCAGAAAAAAACCAATTGTGACACGGATTCCAGCATAAGGGCGTACTTTACCTTCACAGTGTAGTTGAAATATCTGGCCGACTGCATAAACCGATGAAATCCATCTGTCTCTTCTGTTGCCACCGTTAGGACTAGTAATTTATCTGAAAAGACAGAAGACAAGGCATGAGGAGAGGTCACCACTTTCTGACTCGCTAGGGTGACCCGGAGCCCCAGTAAACCACAGCACCGTGAGGGTCTATTCATCTGCCCACCCCCAGACGAAGGATTACCCCCAAAACAGCCACGTCAGATTGGACAGAACACAGTCAAATGATGAAGCCATCAAATGGCAAGTTCCTTTAACGGTATTTGTTTTAAAGGTTCATTCAAATTTGAGGAGAAATACATCTTCCAACAGAGTATCTCAATGTTAAGAGAAAGACTTTCACACAGTGGATGGGTATGTCCACCTCTAGAACATTCTCTCTTCCAAAGGTATTATTTAATCAACTAGCTTCTCTATAGAAGACTTTAAGTGTCCCCTAAATAGGAGACCATCACTACTTGCATTAATGGAGGATGATCAAAGTTGAAAGCCAGCCCAAGCAAGAAAGTCTGTGAGATTTTTTATCTCTAATTAACCACCCCAAAGCAGGAAGTGGAGCTGTGGCTCAAGTGGTAGAGTGCTAGCCTTGAACAAAAGACAAAAGACCAATTCAGGGACAGAACCCAAGCCCTGAGTTCAGGCCCAGGACTGGTCAGAAAAAAGAAAAAGAAAAAAAGGAATAAATAATAGTTTCATACAAATTGAATTCTCCTTCAAGTTTTTAAAAATACCAACGTAAGTTTGACACACATAAAGAAACAATAAATTTAAGTTCTTTTTTTTGGGGGGGGTTCCGGTCATGGGGCCTGAACTCTGGGCCTGGGCACTGTCCCTCAGCTCTTCAGCTCAAGGCGAGCGCTCTACCACTTGAGCCACAGCACCACTTCCGGCTTTTTTCTTTTTGCTTATGTGGTGCTGAGGAATCGAACCCAGGGCCTCAGGCATGCAAGGCAAGCACTCTACCACTGAGCCACCTTCCCTGCCCAGCAACAATAAATTTAAATAGAAGACAGTTCAGTAAAGAAAATATATCTGCCTTCTTTAAAAAAATATTTTTAACCTAGGAAATGATTATATAATTTCAACACAGAAAGTACTGTGTTTCTAAGAACAATTACTGTAAAGGCGATGCACAGAGGGGTTACAGTTACATAAGGCAGGTCATGAGCACATTTCCTTTTCAACAGTGTTCCCCTCCCTCATTCTCTCCTGATTTTCTCCCCCTCCTGACTTCCCTTCCCCCAAGTTGTATAGTTCATTTCCAACATAGTGTCTAATGAGTTGCACTGTTGAATTGGTTCACCCTGTGTCCCACTGCTTCACAGAAAATATTCCAAGTAAAATAATTAACTTCATTAAAGTGGTTAAGCCTAACAAAATATATCCTGGAGGTCTTTTTTTTTAATTAACTATTTTTGCTATATCTTTTTTAGGATTTTTTATTAAATGCACTTTTTGATCTTTAAATAGTTGCACAAAAGGGCTCCAGTAACTATTCTCTTTTAAGAACAAAAATATCTTACCAGTTTCAAATGAGACTTAAGATATTTAAAAGCAGCATATTAGCTTACAAAACCGTAAGCAAATATGTTGGATGGTATATGCAAAATGTACAAATGCATTAACTGAAATATGGCAGATTCAAGAGAGAACTTAAATAGTATAATTCCTTAGAAAGGCAAAATCAAAGTGTTCAGCAAAATAACACACCCAGAAGCAGACACCTGGAAAGGGTGGAGTGAGACCCGGGGGAAAGGGGTACATAAAGAGGAAGAAGAAGAGGGGGAAAGGTAGACAAAAATCCAATAGATCCTAGAAAATTATGACAATGAGCTGGGCACCAGCGGCTCACACCTCTCATCCTAGCTACTCAGGAGGCTGAGATCTGAGAATCTCGGTTGAAAGCCAGCCCAGGAAGGAACGTCCGTGAGACTCTGATCTCCAATGAACCACTCAAAAACCAGAAGTAGAGCTGTGGCTCAGAGTGGTGGAACGCTAGCCCTGAGAACAAAGAGCTCAGGGACAGGGCCCAGGCCCTGAGTTCAAGCCCCAGGACAGACCAAAATCAAACAAACAAACAAAAAGATGAAGGAGGACAGGGAGGGGTAAGAACGTTGTTCAAAGGTGTGACAATGATCAAGATGCTTTCTATGGCATCACTAAATGGCAACTCCTTTGTACAACTACCTAAAGATAATAATAATAACAATAATAAAGATGTAATACATGGTAAGCTTTCAGAGTAAAGAACACAGTTTCTTAAGGTCTCTTCCCTGCAATACGGTAACTGTTTAGTAACCTTTTTCCTGAGACATTTCTCTACAAATCATAAAAATTAACAGCAACTGTTGATTGTTAACTGGATGTTTTTTACACTTAACATTTCCAGTATAAAGTTCACAGCAAGGGTTTCATCAGCCAGCATACCGAAGGCAGGGGGTGTGAGCCAGATTCTTAAGTAGACAGAAAATGTGACCACATTCCGTGACTCAGAGGGTCGAGCCTCGAAATCAGAGTCTCCCCGCCCTAGGCCAAAGAATTCCCATCACTCCGGTTGCTTTTTTTCTTTTTTAAATTAAGTCATTTGAAATCTTCTAAAATTAAAAACAGTTCAACTGGGCAAACACTCTTAAAATCTCTCTATCATAAAAATGAGTGAAAAGCTTTCAATAATCCCTTAATAGAGTCGGGATCGTCCCGATAAAAGATGTCATAGAATTGAAATGTTTCGGCCCAAGACTGTGAGCTTAAACCATGCGGACGGTCGCCTTACAGAACGCATCTTCCAGCTACCGAGCGGACAGCAGAGGAGACAGCTTTGGCCACGCTCACCTCCCGGCCTTTTCCACTCTAGACACTCCTTCCCTGTCTAGCTTCCTTCCACCCTGGGGGACTGCCACAAGATGCACACACCCTTACTGTCTGCCACCTTGTCCCTTTATGTGGAAACAGTTCACCCAGTTCCTATGAGCAGAAGCTCTGCACCAGATCGGCACCGCACAGCAGAGTTATGTTGCCATCCAATGACTGACTTCCGCAATCACCCTTACAAGGAAGGCACTCCCAATGGGACCGGCATCCGTAAACATGATCCAGGCTGGGAAGGTGGCTCTGTGGCAGAGTGCTTTCCTTGCGTGCATGAAGCCCTGGGTTCGATTCCTCAGCACCACACACACAGAAAAAGCAGGAAGTGGCGCTGTGGCTCAAGTGGTAGAGTGCTAGCCTTGAGCAAAAGCTCAGGGACAGCGCCCAGGCCCCGAGTTCAAGCCCCAGGACTGGGGGGGAAGAAAACAACAAAGAAAAACCTAGCTTTTTTTTTTTAAGAAGGAGGAGAAGAAGAAGAAGAAAAGAAGCCATTAGTATTGATTGCTCCAAATTAGGCTCAAACCAGTTTTCTCTGTGGCACTCACAGCTCTGATGCACATGGAGATGTCATTTTTTTCTTCTGTTTTGAACAGAGATGACCAATATTCAGTGAAAACCATTTTGAAACACCTTTTCTTTTTTTTTTTTTTGGGTCCAGTTATGGGGCCTGAACTCTGGGCCTGGGCACTGTCCCTCAGCTCTTCAGCTCAAGGCTAGCACTCTACCACTTGAGCCACAGCACCACTTCTGGCTTTTTTCTTTTTGCTTATATGGTGCTGAGGAATTGAACCCAGGGTCTCAGGCTTGCAAGGCAAGCGCTCTACCACTGAGCCACCTTCCCAGCCCTCTTCCCTCATTTTTAAAAACCCTTTATAAACATCTTCATCTTCTTTCTTGCTGGCTATACAGAAATTGGCACCAGGCAGGCCTAGTCTAATAGTTACCATTTGTCTCCTAGGATATAATTGGCCACAAAAACCTGACTACGAACTACTGTCCACAGATCCCAACGGTAAAGGTTATTCTTTCCAACTGATCGATAACTTAAAACCCTGCGTTTTGCACTAAGAACTGTGATCGTGAAAGGAGCTGCGGCGGGTGGCCGGTGTTGTACACGCATGTCTATACTATCTCGGTGTCCCTTCTGCTGTGAGGACGCAGGGAGAATCAGCTAGGCCACGGGTGATGCGTGAACCTCAGGAAGTTATCATTACATCTCTCTCTCTCTGCCGGGAGTGCTACGGAGGTCCGTGCTACGGAGGTCCGTTATAAACTGGACAAATTGGCTTAGCTCTGTGCATACACATAACAAGCACCTGCAAACCCATCTTCCCTTGAATGCCTGTATTTTCCTCTATCACAAAAAAAGCTATCATTCTAAGCCCGAGTTATAATTAGCGTGTGCCCGGGAGCCTGCCCTATGCACGGCCCCCAAAGCACGCCAGAGCCACATCTCCTAACTCCACCCAGCTTCCAGAATGATCTTTTTTCCCCGATCTTTACACACACCCAGCCATGAGGGGACTGTTTCCAGGACACGGGTCTTGGGCTGCAAATGCCCTGAATCGTGCACACGGGACGTCCTGTTTAACTTCCAAGGAAGTCCCGCCTGCCGTCCCTCCTCAGATGGGTCGCAGAGATCCCTGCCATTTCCAAAACAGAACAAACGCACCAGAACATGAGGCCTTTCTCCACGGAGGGAGGGGCGGCATCTGCCAACCAAATGCCTGATCGGGGGCCGGACTGCCTGCCAGAAATGTGGTAGCGAGTCTGCAGCTCGCCCAAGCACATGTGCTCTGTCACCATTTAGCCCACATTTTACACAAGGCTCTGAAACAATTTCCTGAGCTCACACACAGAGGGGTGCCCTCCCCATCAGACCAGAGCTGAGACACAGTCGATAGCTTTTACTTCCCCACGATGGTAAAAAGAAAAAAAGAATTTCTTGCACCTCTTACATCCCCTAAAAGCATGGAAAAAAATAATAAATCAACCTGGGATGTACAATTAAAAACAGGACCAGGAAATGGTGGTGCGAGATGCTACTGGAGAGAGAAGTCCTCATATGCATTTATCCCGATATGCGTTTATCCCGATATGCATTTATCCCCTTCAGTTCACAACGAGACAGTCGCTCTCCCATGAAGACATTTTAGAATTATTACGGAGACATGCCTGTGTGTGCCAGGA